ATTGGAAAATCCCCGAAATCGCAGACTGTGGAGTTGGATCAAGAACTAAGAGACTGGGAAATGCACATACTATGTCCATTTCTCCTGGACGTTTCCCCACTGTACTATCTCCACCAGCCACACTTGGTTCTTAATAGACAGTTGAATAGAGTATGAAGCTTAAGTTTCCCACTAAACTTTCCCATTAATCTGTCTCCAAAACTCCCCACCAGCCCTGAGGAATTCATTGGATAAACGAGAAATGCTTAGGAAAATCATAGGAAAGAATTGGTTGTAAATTTTAACTTGTGATTCTCTCCAGCTAGTGCCCATAGCAGAACCCAACTGAGGCTGGAACTTCAAAGTGGCTTCGCCCTCAACATAGAATTGAGGGGAAGGCAATAAACATCAGTCAGTACCATGCTCATGATTTTTGCCAAACCCAAGTATCACTTAACTACTGTCTTAATTACTTAATTACTTAAATTTTTTATAACAGTCAAATAAAGGATATAACTCAGATTTCATATTCCTTTAGTAAATTTAAAACCAGTGTCACCCACAGAAAGTAACTATAAAAATAAATACAATAAAAATGAAATATATTATTAAATTTTACCCAAAAAAAAGTCATTTTCAAAGATGCTGAGCCTGGGAGCTGCCCTCTCTTTCTTAAAAAGAGAAACTAACAAGTGTTAGGAAAGTAAGGCATTAGTCTTCCAAACTGTAACTTTCTCTTAACATAATCCGAAGATTGAAATGCATTTAATTTTTATACTTTGAATGCTATATCTCTATACTAAAATTACTTCTCATACCACAGGTAGCACATATCTCAACCTTTGGTACATACTAAATGTAATAGATGGACATCGTTGGCATGCACCAATGTACAATCCCTGATTCTGCTATTTACTGGATTTAATTTTGGACACTTATTTTCTCCATGCTTCAATTTCTTTATATGAAAAATGGGAATAACATCTACCCCTTAGTGTTGTGGAAAAGATTAATATAGATAGTTGATATAAAGGGCCCTGGCCCATAATAGGCATTTGGTTAATGTTTTCTCCATTTCTCTTCAGGTACTAAAACTTCCTCTTCTCCAAATTCCTCTAACCCATCTGTGATAACATCTCTGAGATGGCCCTAATGATCCCTGCCTCCAAGTTGGTATTCAGAGCCTCTCATAGTCCTTTCTCATACTGAATAAGGTTTGGTCTCTGCGACTAATAGGTCATGGCAGTAGTGGTGGTATGTCACTTCTGATACTAAGTCATAAAAAATATCGTAGCTTCTGCGCTCTTCTCTCTCTTGGATCACTGGCTCTGGGTAGAGCCAGCTACCATGTCATGACAAGAAGCCCACGTGGTCAACGGCCAGTGGGGAGAGAAAATGCCTCCATTTAAACTCAGCACAGAGTTGAGATTTAGAGAGTAGAGAGAATGAGGACCCAAAGAAGGAGAGAAGCAGAGAAGGAGGTGAGGCAGTGTTTAGGACCACACATATAAATGAGAAGATGAGGAAACTGGACTTGAAGGGTGGAAACATCACCTGCAGACATACAGCAACAGCCTGAGCCCCAGTGTAGTCAAGCCACATGGGTCCCCTTGCATGTAGAGAGACCACAGAACCAGTTCCATGGGAAAAACCACACCAGCTAGTCATGAGTGAAATAGTGTAGGATGAGGAAGCAAGTTTTCTTTGGCACCTGCTACCTCATCAACTCCAGCAGCTAAGGTGAGTGAGAGAATAAAACAACTCTGTAATCAGTCTCCTCTTATCAGCTTACCTCACCCTAACCGCATGCCCAGGAGTCTATTTCCAATCCTATCAGAACCTAGATTGGTTGCCACACCTTAAGTTAAATTTTTCCAAGAGTTGCTCAAAAAATTCCCTCATTCTTTCAATATATATTCATATGTGCCAACTATTGTATTAGGCATTAAGCATACAATGAGAACAAAGCATATATAGCTCTATATTCATTGGAACATTTAGTGTAGACAGGAAACATCTCTCTCCCTCATATATATGTACGTATTTCTGTGTGTGTGTATAATACATAAATATGTATGCAAATTGTGATGATTGCTTTGAAGAAAAAGGATAGATTCTATGCAAGGATGACATTCAAAATATTTAACAGAGTGCATAGCATAAGCACCTACCAATCAAAACAGATGTCAGTGTAATCTGAATGAAGACTCTCTGAACAATTGTTCTGCCTGTCTTGGTAAAAAATCATAGTACTGCTGGTTTTATGAAGGGAATGTACCTGTAGACCCTAACTTTGATTATGTAAGTGAAGCTAGTGACATTTAAGCTAAGGCAAAAGGATAAAGAGTTAGCCAGGCCAAGAGAGGAAAGGCAGGGAAAACATTTCGAGAGAGGGCAGACCCTAAAGCCCTGCTCATCAAGACATCCCATCAAGAGCCCCAAGATTAGTGGATAGGTTATAGGCAAGTCATTAATGCCTAAAGAGCAGGGTGGTGTGAAACTAGGGGCAGTGACATGATCTGAGTTACTACTGCTAACACCATGACTAGCTAATATTAAGTAAATGCTTATTAAGTTTACTTTTCTTATTTGAGCCTCACAGTGACCTTTTAAGGTGTCGTTATCCCCTTTCCACTGATTTAAAAACTTGGCACAGGCAGGTTAAATCACTTTCCTAAGGAAACTCAAATAATAAAAGGTGGGGCTGAGAGTCTACCCCAGCCTGTTCTCTTCATCAGCAGGATGCAAACTTTAAAGAGACCACTCTGTCAGAAGAAAATGAATGAACACAGATTAATTGAAATGGGGAAAGCAGTCAAGAGGCTATCACAGACATCAGGAATGCAAGGCCTCTTTTGGTAACAGATAAATGAAGTGCAATTCGGAGAAATTTGGGCAAAAAGGGGACTTTGTTGGCTTATATAACTAAACTGTGGGGTGGCATGTGATGTGGCTGACTAGGGAAAACTAAAACCAGTGACAAGGGGATGCCTCCAAGTCTCTTATCTTTTCTTTGTTTTCTCAGATCCATATCCCTTGACATGATAGGAAATGGCCACCAACGGTACCTGCTCTCACATCTCACAGCTTGCCCAAGAGAGAGAGTCTGAATCTCTTCTTTCAGCTTCTGTGTCTAAAATCCCAGGACAGGGCTCTGATGGGTCAGGTGCCTACCCTTGTGGTGGGGAGGTGAGTATGGTGCAGGAAATAATGAGAGCAGCCTCTGGTAGAATCACATGGTTAGTATGGGGAAGCAACAGATCCATCAGAGAAAGGGAGTTTGTTCCCCATCCCCCAAAAGAGAATGCTACACAAATAAAACAAAAGATGTTCACTACATTGGAGAAGAAGAGATAGCCACTTGGACTGAGATGGTGGTAGCAGAAATGGAGAATGTGTGCAGATTCAAAATATATTTTGGAGATTCGGTGAGAGAGGTCAATACTATTGTTTCCTGGGTTCATTCATTTCTTTATTAAGTGTATACCTACTATGTGCCAGGCACTTCTGGGCACTGGCTATACAGTGGTGAACAATACAGGTCTCTGACCTCATTAAGTTAACATTTTAGTGAAGGAGACTGACAAGTCACAAGTAAACAGACCAAAAAATATAAAATTATAACTTGTGTTAAGTGTTAAAAGAGAAACAAAGGTGCAAGCATGAAGAATAATGGGAAAGACCCATTTCTGTGGTGACATTTAAACTGAGGCCTGGAGACAGTTGTAGGAAAAATAGAAGAGATTTTCCAGCAGTGCAGTTGAATCTCTAACATCCCTCCTTTATCAAGAAAGAGCAATGCAGCTTTGTGGAATTCTCACCCTCCTCTCTGTATTCCAATGGTGGTCCTGAATGACTAATGCAATGAAAGTAAACTAATCCCTCTTAGTATTGATTGGCTCAGGAACCCAAGCTTAACTAAGCTAATCATTGTGTGGTATTCACCTGGTGACAGTTATTGGTTCAGGAGTTAGTATGCGACCTAAGTTGGCCTGATCAGACCAAAGGGAAGTGGAATTTTTCAGTTCCATTGTGAGGGGAGGGACAGTGCTTTATCCCACTGACTTGAACAAAGAAGCGCATAGCCCCTACTGCTCCTGACTTCTATGACCTTGAAAGGCCAACTTTAGGTTGAAGCAAAGTGAGTGGCAGAAGGAATCCTGGTCTTTGATTATGCTCTTGGGCCACTGGATATATCAACTGTAACATTTGTTCTACCTCTGAGCTTCTTGCTATAGGAACAACCATATTTTTGTGTGTGTGTGAGCTGCCTTGAGTCAGATTTCTGTTACTTCAGCCAAATATATATTAATAAACACATAAACAATAGGAACAGCATATGCCAAGGCCCTGAGGTGGGAAAAAGTTGGGATAATTAGATTAATTTAAGGGGCCACATAATAAAATGATCTAGTCAGGTTATCTTAAAGTGCAGCTAGCCCTCTCCATGCTTACCAAGTTTTTAGCTTTGCTTGTAGAGATGAGTGGCTAGCCAAGGATCACCAAGCACTGAAGACAACACTCTTAACATGAAAACAGACCAAACAAAACAGAAACAGAAAATAAGTTATCAGAGGATACAAAAACAATTCCAGGAACAAAAGAAAATAGGAGGGACTA